TGCTAAAGTAAAATGATAATCAGAATCGTGCCATCTCAGATACAACAGCTGTATTAAAATGAAAACACTTTAGAATATGTTGACATTCATTGCAAAGTTAAAATCTCTGCTGACTCACAGCTGACTCCAGTGATATCTCTCATAGAGCAAGACAGAATTTACATCTGAGTGGTTTAAGTGGCCCAAAATTTTCTGTCTTAATAAAAAAAGTAATGAAAAATGTATGACTCCCAAAAATGTGCAACCTATATAGGTACTGAATGATTTATAACAAAACTGTAACAGATTACAATTCAACTGACTACTGAAAATATATCATATTTTGCTAGTTTGTAGAAATAAATGGTTGTAAAAGAGCATTCCATCTTTAAGTTCTCAGCAAGATTTATTAAACATTTGGTTTGAATGTTGTATAGGGTATCTGTAGTTTGAACAGGAGACACATAACCAAATTATTCAGTGGAACATCATCAACATGACTCAGTCTACCAAAATTCTTTTGAATTTCCTGAATTTTCACAACATATAAAAATTAGAGATATTTCACAGCCTACTACAGCAGTGTAGCAACGAAAATTTGAAGGATTTGATGAAAATTATTCATGTATTTCCCAGGTTTTAAAATATATAATACTATATCCTAAGATTATTTTTAGTGTCTTGATGGCTTCCTTTACTCTTCTCACAACAACCCAGGCATGGTGACACTAGAAAAAATACATCTTGATTGACAGCAAATGTATTTGCCTTGTGAGCCATTTCTAGGGTCCTTCCAGGTGGGAGACTTTGACATTCAAGGTCAGGCTGGATGGGTTCTGAGCAACCTGAATCCAGCGGTAGATGTCCTTGTTTATTGCAGGGTAGTATGAGTAGACAATCTTTAAAAAGGTCCCATCCAAGTCAAGCAATTCTATTATTCTATGAATTTCAGGGCAGGAAGTGCTCTATCAGCTAGTATAAAAGTGAATGTACTTGTCTGGAGTTCAAACCACAAGGTTTTGTGGCTGCGATTTATACAGTCTATTTGATTTCTGTTGCACATCTCTCCAAAATTACCTTCCATTAACATAAGCAGAGGAATGGGATGAGCTGTACCTGAGATGCCTAGCCACAACCCAAAGGAATGACCATGTGCAGCCTCCTTCATCACTTGTCCTTTCACCTTGCTTCTGCGCTGCTATAGGCTTTGCTCATATCATGGTGTGCATCCTAGGCAGACCTACAGCTTGTGTTGAGATGATCAAGCTGCCTTTCCCCTTCTTGTGGCAGGACCCTTATAATCACAAACTGAGACCACTGGTCTATTCATTACAGAGAAATCTTTAGGTTAAAAATGCAACCATAAAAAAAAAAAAAAAAAAAAAAAGAAATCTAAGCATGTTTTCATATTAGAGTTTATATGTATCAGAATTTCTTCTTTACAAGATATTTCTACTGTCATCTATTTCTTTCATTTTGTGAGGCTGAAATGAGCAAGTGCTGATATTTATAATGGTATTATATCATTGTTTGGATAATAAAGTACATTATTTCTATTGAAGCATTGCTTCTTTATTGTGTAGTTAAGGTTTGAAATATCACTTTTGAATCATGAGCAGTAGAGGACTGAATGTTGGTAAAGATCTAGAATTTATCAGTAAAATATAAGCACTGTGATAGCAAAATTTGTTCAAATGACAAGGCAGGCAATCAAACAACTTCTTTTTGGAAAATGGAAGCATTCTCTAAAATGAATGTAATTTTCCCTATCTGTGGAAAGGAGACATAGAAGTCTGTAAATGTTATAAATTGTGCACCTGGCACTTCATTATAATAATGACTACAATAATGTTTTGTTTTTCTGGGCATATGCATCAACGAGGTACGTGTACCATGCCTAATGAGTTTTGTACTTCTGCAGGAGTAACAGTTCACAGGTAACTGATTTTGAATATTTGCAGTAAGAAAGAACACTGCCCACATTTATTTTCATAGAACAGTTCTTACTGATCATCTGGTGCAGGGCCTAGCCAACTGCTTGCATTGATTAAAATGGGACAAATGAAAAAGAAAGTGTCTAAAATACCTCCATGAGTGACTGTGTTTATGCATATGCAGATAAAATGGAGGGCAATGCGGACAAGAACTTATATTTTGTGCTGATGACATTGCTATCAATCAGTCTCAAAATCAATCCTTTGTGCTCTTATCTTCACAGAGAGCAATACAAAAGCATTCAGATTCATAATGAAGCTACTGTTAAATGCCAATTTATAACAATGCGAAACAAGGAAATTCTTTAAGCAACATTCTGTACATAAATATTCCTTAAAATAAATGCTCACGTAAACAAAAATTGGATTATAGTTGAACTATAGGTTTTCAAAAAGACTGAAGTGCTGCAATCAACCAGATGTTCTTGCTGATGGGTTTGCAGTTATTTACTTAAGCTCCTCCTCATGTCAGTGACTGAAAGCTGATTCACATTCTCCCAGAATATAAATTTTAATGAATATCATTCTCCAGCTGAATTTATGTAATTGTGGAACAGTGGCAGATAGCATGCTGCAAATAAAGATTCTGCATGGTGTAGTTAAATATAAATCTTTTCACTGTATGCTGGAAGTTCTGATGCTAGCACATGAGAATATACAATCTCTGAAACCCAAATTGTGCGGATAAAGTTTCTCAAGAAAATTTGCATGACATCCCCAGGTGCTCTAACATCTAGCTAGTCATATACTGTGATGATCCTTAGAGTGTTAATATCGTTTGCAAAGGTGACTCAGTAAAGGCATTTCTACATTTGAACATAAACACAAAAAGAACTCAAGATGACCAAAAGCCACAAAGAATATAGTTCAAATAGAACTACATGCAATCACTAACAACTGAATGGGGTGTTTTTTTTTTTTTTTTTTTTTTTAATTATTATTATTTGCGGGGAGGTATTGGTTTTTTATCTTAAACTGATAAATTTCTGGGTAAAACTTCATATAGATCCTTACTCTCTTTTCTTCTTGGTCACAGAAGAAAAGGAAACGGTTTGCTTAAGGCATCTGCAAAAGGGTGCGTTTGTGAAACAGAATGCCTATAACAAGGTGCCAAAGAGCACACATTTGTTCCTTTGCTGCGCCAAGGTGTATATAGCCTGGAAGTGATGACTGACATGAGGAAAATCACACAATCAGCAAGATTACATGTGTGTGTTGGAATAGCTATTGGTGATACTGGGTTGTAATGAACTGATTTTGTATATCTGCATATTAAAGTGGTGGGTAGTGATAACATGTCTAATTGTGAGGGTGGAAAGACAGTGATAATGGGATTTGTGAACTGTAGGAGGTGATGGGTATGCATGATAAAAAGAGTAGGTAGCGAGGACGCAAGTGTGATGCTGAGCATAGTGGTGTTAGGGGCATATGCATTGTGGTGACATTTATGTGGCATGGACCTGCTGTTTTTGGAAAAGTAGGCAGTACTCATAGGTGAGTTCATGTAAAGAAGCAGATTGGTCTCCATAAAGGTGAGATGTCCTCACACATACAAATAGCTGCAATAGACAGAATAAGCAGATATTGGTTTTGTTTTTCTCTTTTGCATATGTATGTGCTGAGGGAGTGTTGATTGAGTAAGCAAGTGTGGTGCACGTGTTAGTGAGTAACTGTGTCTGGTTCATACAGAACTAGGTGGTGGTTGTGTTTGGAAGCTGGCAAAATGGTTATATGTAAATATAAGAGCAGACTGCATGGAGTGATTGCATGTATGGAGCAAAGACACCTAATGCCTGGAAGAAGGTGTGGATATGAAGGTGACCAGTGTTTGCCTGGAGTGCTGAAATGTGGTTCTAGGGCATGCTGATGGTGTTAATGTGTGTTTGGAGCTGGTGGCATGGATGAGGTGCATGAGGAATCAGTGTCTGACTGGGCATGACAGCATGAGTAGTGATTGGTTTTGACTGCATTTGTCAGTCAGGATTAGGGTCCATGTATGAAACAGCACAGTAAGGGTCAGTGTGTAGAAGTAGTTTTTTGCTGCACATCCCAGTCAGGGATATGCATGTAAGGGGTGTGTGTGTTTGTGTGTAGCAGTGGTGATTTAGCATGTGATGGTTCCATTTGAAGTGATACCATCAATGGAAGCAGTATGTGAGGGGACAGAAGAGTGGACAGATGGTATGCTTGTGTGGCAGCATAGCTGGGATGTTCTTGGCACCATCATGGTGCAGATAGCGATGGTGAATATTGGTGCTCAGAGCCAGAAGGTGTGCTAGGGAGTGAGAATAGGACAGGGCTCAGGACATAACATGCAGAGCATGGCAAGGCTCTGAAGTATGGGATGCCACTTACATGTGATGTCTGACGATGGAGGTGAGATAGAATGAGGTGGAGAGCATGGAGCTGTGTGATGGTGAGAGGCGCAGGCATTGCAGGTTCCAGGCAGTGCTCAGCCCCAGGTTGTGGAGTACGTATTCAGTGCCGTGCGTGGTGGTAGCTCTGTGGGGTGGGCAGTGTGGAAGGTGCAGGACGAGGAGAACACAGCAGCTGTGGGGGAATGAAAACTGCCTGTCTACCCATGACCCAGGCTTTTATTCTAGAGAAGGAATCATGGTCCTTCTGCTCGGGGTGCCCCCGGACCCAGATGTCATGGCGCACGGAGGGGCAGGAGGCTGACTTCATTGGAGCCAGTGAACAGAGGGAGAGCAACTCATGATGAAAAGAGGCAATACAGCGTAGGGCAGGGGCAGTGCAAGCAGCCCGGGGCGGGGGGGGGGGGCGGTTAGGAGGCGGGAGGTGGGAAGGGACACCCACTAACGTCTCCTCCCGCATTTTTTTCTTTCCCTCCTCCTTTCGTAGCCGGTGACGCGCCGCTGCCTATTAATCATTCACCAGCCGGGGAGCAGCGATTCCTGCGCTCGGAGCTCGGCGGCCGCCTCCGTCCGTCCCCGCGCCCGCGCCCGGAGCACCGCACCGGAGGGAGCCCGCCGGGAGCCCGCCGCGATGCTGCGCCCGGCGAGCGGCCGGAGCCAGCCGTGCTGAGCAGGAGCGAGGAGATCCGGGCGGGGTATGCTCCCCGATGGCACCTGCACCAGGCTCCCGGGCGGTGCAGGCAGCCACAGCGGCGGCAGCCACAGCGGAGCCAGCGGCGCTTTGGAGGAGGCGGCGGCGAGGGGCATGGACTCGGGCGGCAGGAACTCCTCTGGTGCCCCGAACAGCACCCTGAGCGAGTCCCAGGGCAGCGCCATCCTCATCTCTTTCATCTACTCTGTGGTGTGCCTGGTGGGGCTGTGTGGCAACTCCATGGTCATCTACGTGATCCTACGCTATGCCAAGATGAAGACAGCCACCAACATCTACATCCTTAACTTGGCCATTGCAGACGAGCTGCTGATGCTTAGTGTTCCCTTCCTGGTCACTTCCACCTTGCTGCACCACTGGCCATTTGGCTCTCTGCTCTGCCGCCTGGTGCTCAGTGTGGATGCCATCAACATGTTCACCAGTATCTACTGCCTGACTGTGCTCAGTGTGGACCGCTACATCGCTGTGGTGCACCCCATCAAGGCGGCCAGGTACCGCCGGCCCACCGTGGCTAAGATGGTCAACCTCGGTGTTTGGGTGCTTTCCATCCTCATCATCCTGCCCATCATCATCTTCTCCAATACAGCAGCCAACAGTGATGGAACGGTGGCTTGCAACATGCTCATGCCAGAGCCCACCCAGAGGTGGCTGGTGGTCTTTGTGGTCTACACCTTTCTGATGGGCTTCTTGCTACCAGTGGTGGCCATCTGCCTCTGTTACATCCTCATCATTGCCAAGATGCGCATGGTGGCCCTGAAGGCTGGCTGGCAGCAACGCAAACGCTCGGAGCGCAAGATCACCCTCATGGTCATGATGGTGGTGATGGTCTTTGTCATCTGTTGGATGCCCTTCTACATTGTGCAGCTGGTCAATGTCTTTGTAGAGCAGGATGACGCTACCATCAGCCAGCTCTCCGTCATCTTGGGCTATGCCAATAGCTGTGCCAACCCCATCCTCTATGGCTTTCTCTCAGACAATTTCAAGCGATCCTTCCAGAGACTGCTCTGCCTCAGTTGGATGGACAATGCTGCAGAGGAACCCATTGACTACTATGCCACTGCCCTCAAAAGCAGGGCATACAGCGTGGAGGACTTTCCCCCGGACAACTTGGAGTCAGGGAGCATGTACAGGAATGGCACGTGCACCTCCAGAATTACTACGCTCTGAGGAAGCATTCTTGCCCCCTGCCCCACCACCCCCCAGCAGGAGGGTGAGCGGAGCCAGTCTGTGGCATGGGGAGGCTGGGAGGGAGGGGGTTTTGATCCAGCCTACTAACAGCAGTGTTTGGGAGAAGAGGAAGAAAAGAAAACCCCATGTCCTTGGTGTGCTGCCCCATTCCCCTTGCCTCCTTTGAAACTGGGTGCATTTGCTGATGCTTTGACACCCCCTTAGTAAACTGCCATGCATAGCATCTGGCAGCCAGGCTCTGCTAGCCCTGTCTGTCTGACAAGCAGGTCCAACAACAACTCTCCCCTTCTGTACAGGTCCCCTCTCCTTCCCATAGCTGGTGAGACCCCCTGCCACTGAGCAGAGCCTGCTTCAGGTCGGGTTCAGACCCCCTTGACCAGTAGCAAACCTGCCCAGCATCCATGGGTAGGCACCTGCCAGTCAGAGAGCAGAAAAGCTGGGAAAGGTCCCTCCTGAACACATCTGCCCTCTCCCAGAAAGCAGTCTCTCCCTGTTTCCCCATGAGGAAAAAAAAAAAAAAAAAAAAAAAAAAAAAGGGAGCAAAAAGGCTCCAAGAAAAGGAGCAGCTTTTGCTCTGCAGACAGCTCCCACCTTCCTGGGGCTCAGGCTCTGTGCTGCGATCACAGGCAGCAAAGCAGAAAAGCCCTTCAGAAAGGAACCTGATTGTTGATTGTTGCAGTGCCTCAGAACTCACAGCAGGATGCCAGTAACAGGAGGTAATGGATCTGTGACCCACGGGGACAGAGCTGGGGGCAGGAGGAAGCCTTGTGCTGGGAGAGGTGCAAGTGCGTTCCTCCGCGTGATGGAATGTGCAAGTAATAAAGTTTTAGGGGAGCACTAGACTGTAAAGTTATTGTCTTGCACTGCTCCACTGGCCATGAAACAGTGATGAAGGGACTGAGACAGTTTTCAATGACCTGAGTGGCCACAAAGTCACTTTAACTGACATGGAAAAAGGGGATTTTATTCAAAATCTCCACCAGGCTCTTAAATAAATACTTGACAGAAAAGTAGCTGTTTGACAATAGCTATTAGCCTAGCTCCAGTTTCTTCTGTTGCACTATAAAGAGGGTTTCATAAGTTGCCAATGTAATATACTGGCCCAGAGCTTCAAAATGTTTCATTTCTGAGAAGCGTTGGTTTTAGTGTGTCAGATGTCTTTTTATTTGATTTTTTTATTCTTGTTACTGTGCTGTGAACGTGTTTCTCTGAAGCAATTTATGCTGTGTACTTATGTCTGTGGTGACTACCTGCAAGAGTGCTTTTAAAAGGGGCAATGCTCAAGAAGGCTTCTTTTCAGAGAAAAAGGTTGTGACTTTTTCTAATTCTTTCATCTACATTGTCTCTCCCTGGAAAAACTTTCTTGAATTTTCCCTTTTTTTCCTCCTCTGAAACAATACTTTTCCCATAAACAAATGAGGATTTACTGTTTGATAAATGACAGCTGATTAAACAAACCCTCTCTCCCTCCTCCCCTCATCCCAGCCGCACACACCAGGATGAACCATGTTGAAACAAGCAGCTCTGTCAGTTTGTTTTCTACCACCTGTATTGACAGTATCATACAGTGGCAGGTGTCCCAGTAGCTGTGACAAATCACTTTTCCAGCTCAGTGCTGTGGTGGTATTAATTATAACTGCTGAGAGTTTGAAGCAAGGGATTGGGAAAAATCCTGGGTAGCAGCACACCCGTACCCTGCGCTGGTAGAAGCGCACGCCATGCTGAGGGTGAGGCTGGCGGTGGAAGCATCCAGTACCTGGTGGTGGACATACTGCAGGTTCTTGTTAAACGGTACCTTTAACTTCGCTCAGCAGCAGTAACCAGGAGACTACTTTGTGCATTTCTTTCACCAAAAATTAGGTACTGTTAAATGAATGTATAAATTTAGTATTTCAAAGTTGTTTGATTCAAAGCCCATTGAAATGAGAGAAGAAATACTACTTCATTTCAGTGGACTCTGAGTCAGCCCTGTTTAGTTCCAAAATTGCTGATGTGGAAGCTGTTACATACTTATTAAAACATTTTGTGAAAAGCTTTAACAAGTGTACAGTTTATTTTCTTTTACTTCTCAGTGGACTTCATTTAAAGAAAACACACAAATATGAGTTTCAGTAATGATTTGCATACACATACGGGGAAAAATAGAGCCAAATCTCTCAATAAGCATATTTAACTTTCCTCAGAGACCAAACATCTGTCAAATGCCCCACGCTGCCACATGGTGCTATTTGTAGAACTTTACTTAGAAACTCACTCACAATCTCTTCAAAATGGTATACATTTCTTTTTTCACCCAGGCATCCTGCTATGCAGGATCAGATTAAACAAAGTCAGTCTTTGTTCTACTGCTGGGTTTGTTTAACATTAGGCACTATGAAGCAAAAGCAAAGGAGCGGTAATTCATATCTGATATTCAGCTTTGATGAGAAGGTGAGCCTGGTTTATCACTTAAAAAAAAAAAATCCACGTGAATAAAATTCTTCACCTTAAGTTGTTACGGATTTCTGCATGCCTTCCAGCACAGGCATTCTAATTTCAGTTCTCCCAGACAGAGAGCAGAGGGCTGCCCGCAGGCAGCAGAGCAGCTGGGATGCTGGTGGCACAGCAGATGGCAGGCTTTCCTGCGCAGAGCCACACAGCCAGCACTGCTGCTGAGGCACTGCCTGAAACATTCCATGTAGCTTCAGATGGGAACACAACCTGCTTATCCCAAACTAACAGCTCTTCCTCCTGTTTTTCACTCCAAGTTTTGACTTTGGAAATGGGAAAGGTGATCAAATGCTGCAAATCATTATTTCTTTGGTTTGGGAAACACATTCAGATTGTTCTGTATTATTACCCTAAATTTTAGGACATGTCTACCAGAAAATAGGTTGTCCTTGTGAAATAGCGCCACGTACCAGAAAACAAACTAAATGCTACTCAGTACTTTCCAAATATCAAATGAAACTCTATAAGATTTCATAAGAAAATTGTTATGTATTAATGCTTAATGCACTGAAAAAAAACAACAGTGCCATATTTCTTCAAGACATTTTGTCTCTTTCCACAGCCACAACAAAATTCATCTTCAAATAGGCAAACCATAACTTATAACTGTTAATGTGTTGCTGCATATTTCCCTAGGAGTTTAACATTTAAAATATCTTCACTTTCATACACCTCATCATCACAGAAATTGGTCCTCTGGTGCTGAATCCCAAGTAACTTTTGCTATGCTTTGTTTAATTTGTTTATGCTTTGCTCTGTTTAACTCTGCATAGCATGCGTTGAACTGAATCAGTTCCCCAATGCATAAAGAGCAAATGGCCTTCACATGGATTTTCCTAGTGCATACACCAGGTACCTCTGCAGCATTTTTCCACTCAGAGAAAGGCAAGTCTGAAATGACTCTTCTTTCTCACTAGAATTTCCAAGAAGTAATGTTAGATCTAGAAGTGCAAAAAAGAAGTTTTAAAGTCCTGCAACAAATGCAGAAAAATAATAATAATAATAATAAACTCAAACAAATAAACAACAAAAAAAGCCCACAATCAAATAAGCAAACAAATAAAACCACACAACCCAGAAAAAAAAAAAAAAAAAGCCTATCAAATAATCAATCCAGTGTTCTAGACTTCCTCCCCTAGAAACCTTACCTGACTCCAGGAATCTACAAACAACAATATTAACTAAATCTCTAGAGAAGAATAAAGTCTTTTTACTGCATTATAGATTCATGGCTTCCATCTGGAACGCAGAACCCCACTGGACTTATAACCACAAGCAAAGACACAGGAAGAAGCAGTAATTTACTAATTTAATTTCTCTTAGAGAATAATGCTTTTAAATGTTATATTTTGTAGAGAGAAATAGCCAAGAACAGAGCAAACAGAAAACATTATAAAGTGTTTCACCAGCCAGCTAGACACCAAACGCAGTTCTCACAAGATGGTTTTCCACAAAACCTATCTTCTGACTCTGTTTCACCAAAACCCTAAAATCTGCTTTTAGCAGAGCAGGATGGCATGCCCTTCCTGAAATGTGTGGCATTTGATCTCCACTCTGGACTGAATACATCTGTCATTATTAGCCTATCATTCCTATGACAGCTAGTCACCTTGAAAGCAATATTAATGCACAAAAGGCCCATTCTACTCTTTCTATTTCAAATAAGCCTTTTCTGCAAAGGTTCTCGTACCACGCAATATGATTTGCTCTGCAGTATTCCTCTGTAAGTTACTGAGCTTCCGAGTTATAAAGGCTAAGATAAAAGGGCCACAATGCATAGCACAGGGCTGTGGAGGAACAGCTCCAAATTAGCAGTTTCCCGGTCATAAATATTGCCTCGAGGACTGCTGTAACTGAATTGCACTTCTTCAGTTTACACTGCTGCTGACAGTGCTGTTTTCTTTTGTAATTCAGGCTGCCCAGCCATGAATGTGGCAACTGATGGGGAGGCTCCAAGCTCCTGCAATAGTTCTGCAGTTCTCTGTGCTTCATGGAGCCAAACAGTGCTGAATGAAGTCACTGTAACAGGCTGAGGGAAGCCAAGGGCCATGGGTTCACCCAATACATGCAGGACTTGCAGATATTTGCATTTCCAATGGCATGTTCAAGTGATCGCTGATCAGCTGGAATAGTTAAAGATGCAGCAGATTCCAATTGCTGGGCAATCAGTTAGTGCTATTTTACTATATAGTTATTTCTAAGTCCTTGCTTTGCTTCTGTGCTGCTTTGATGTGCAGAGGAAATGGGAGTGTTAATTCTGCTAGATGTGAGTCCATGGCTGGAAAAGTTGGAGCTGGTGGGAAAAGGAACTCTTGGAGGAAAACCATGTTTGAGTCAGACCTGGAGAATTTGCATTTGCAGATGCCCATTTGATGGTCACAGAATTTGGAAAAAGTCACAGTGAGCTGCATCTGAGAGGACCAGAGAGCTACAGTTTCAGGAAAATGCGTCCCAGGCCTAAATGGACCAACCACAGCTTTCCTCAGCCACCTCCATCTGAGGCTTAAATCAGGAAGCTAAAGGAGGTTATGATTATGATCTTTTCTTTACTTAAGTCAAATAGGCTATAACATGTTGAAACTGAATGCAAAAAGCACTTCCGCTATCACAGTACCAGCAAAAGAATCATTTTGCCATCTGATTCCATTAAATACAGACATAGATGGATCTTGTTCCTCTCTCCAGTCAGTAAGAGACAATCCATGGATAAAAGAAAAATTCAAAAAGCACTGGTTTATTGAGCAGAAAATCAATACCAGTGTTAGCGAGTTTATTTTCCTAACATTACAGCAGAATCATTTTATATACCAGAAAGAGAAAAAGATGTTTCTAGGAGCTAAACTGACTGTACAACATTATAAGGCAGATTTTTAAGGAGCTTTGTACATCTTCTTGAAAACTAGAACAACTTCAATATTAAAACATGTTTATTGTCTAATGCTTCACATGTCATCTTAAGGAGCTTTATGTATCCTTCTGAAAAACTGGAAGAACTTTGATACTAAAATATTTTTTATTATCTAATGCCTCACATTTCCTATATCATTTTGTATTCCTTCTACAAACTTGAGTGTCTTCATAAGAAAAAAGATTTTGCTCACTGAAAGTTTTTGACTAGCATCTGTAACTTAATGAAGCTATAAACTGCTACACCTGCTACCTGCCTGGTCCCAGGTTCATGCCTTAGATTCATACAAATTAATTACATGAATTGATTGCAAGACCAAATGAACAAACAAATGAAAGAAAACTCAATGAAAGGAATGATGAGAAGCACAGAAAACTGATTTTCTAATGGATCCTTTATTTCAATTTTTAGATCAGTGGCTGTTAACTGGTCACACAGAATCTGCAAGAAATTGAATCCCACCTTCTACTACTTGTGCTAAGGAAGGATGGTAAGAAATCCTCATAAACTGACTGGGCAGAAAAGTTATGGGAGATGTCCCCACACCTATTAAATCTTCATGAGACAGACATGTATAACTGTCACTGTTATTCCTGTTGTTTATGGTGGAAAACAAGATAGGAAGGTTGTTTTATGGGATGCTGTACAAGAACAAGCAGAACATCCTAAGTATGTTCACAACTGGGCTGCAACTGGGCTGTTTAGATACTTGAGGAGAACGAATGTGAAAGAAGGTCAACATGGTGGATATCTGGCCACAATTGAGCACCAAATAGGAGAGGAGCTCAGAGTCTTAGAAAGAGGGAATCTGAAAAAGATAAGTGGCTATGGAAAATACATAAACTTTCAACTCAAATTGATTACCAAGTTTTGCTTTTGATGTCAGCTGCTATTTTCAAAGCTGGATGTTGCTTTAGAAGTCAGAAAGCATGTAAGTACTTTTTCTAAGAACCATGAGATAATTTAAGTGCTTTATGGAATGACTAGAAATTTAGGAAAGCAGTGCAGAAAACAGATAGTCTAACATTTAAAGAAAATCTGCTGTTTTTTTATTTTTCAGATACATATGATTTCATGGACTATTTTCTTTCCTTTCATTATTAAAATGGAAAAGTATTACCAAATTTGTGCTCAGCACAAAGATCACCATACCAACAGGACAAAAATGCAATACAACAACATACTGTCCATTCTTTCACTATCACAGAATGAAATTTGCAGAATTTAAAAGCATCTTAGATACTATGATAATGAAAACTATTTCCCCATAAGAGAAATACATACTCTTAAGAACAAAAGTTGATGCTGATGTATTCCTCTCCAGAGATCTCATAACTCAGCACTTAACATAGCCAGAAGTCATAAAGCTGCAATCCCCAAGGCGGATTTTCTGATCTACAGAGGATTTCAGGTTTCTGTGTACTCATTCAAGAACATTTCAAATGAACAAAGATTTAAATGGAAGTAAGAGAATAAATTTCTTACACAAGGAAGAAAGCCTCGTGAGTAATGCATGTTCTGGGTAGGAAGAATAGTGGTCTGTCCTATGGACTCTGGAAACTGTTTAAGTGCAAATATAAGTGCTTCACCTGACCAAACAGATTTTTGCTCATATAAACAATTCCTACAATCTCAGATTTA